GATTTAACAATCCTCGCTCTTCTGCCGGGCGGGCTACGAGACAGGTCAGACTTTGTAGATGGCCCCTTGGCGTCCCATTTCCCTCCCCCCCACACCTCGTTTAGGGCGACCGAGAGCTGAGCCCACCAGCGCTCGAGAGCCGCTCCCCGCAATTCTGGGCGGTGGCCACGCCGGGAGAGAGGGGCTGTCGCCATTTGGCGACGTTCCCTGCGGGACGCTGAGCCGCCGCAGCAGCCACGCTGGGGGATCTAGCGCGGAGCGTGCGCGCGCGGGTCTTTCGCGACGGTGCCCGGGGTGCAAGCCCCGCCCCGCGCCCCGCCCGCCCCGCCCCCGCCCCTGCGCTCCTCGGGCCGCCGGCCCCCGCCCGCTTCATGTGGCCCGGCCCGCGGCGGCCGGCGGCAGGGAGCGGCGAGGCGGCGGCGGCGGCGGCCCGCGAGGCCCGGGAGGCGGCGGTCGGGGCCCAGGCGGCGGCGGCGGCGGCGGCGGCGGCGAACGGGAGCGGGCCCGGCCCTGCCCTCGAGCGGCCGCCCGGCTGCAGCATGCGCGCCCGCCGGGGGCTGCTGCGGCTGCCGCGCCGCTCGCTGCTCGCCGCGCTCTTCTTCTTCTCGCTCTCGTCCTCGCTGCTCTACTTCGTCTATGTGGCGCCCGGCATAGGTAGGAAGGGAGTCGGGGACCCCCCGCCTCCTCTCGCCCGCCGTCCCTGAGGGCCCCGGCCCGGCCTCCGCGCCCGCCGGCCTCGGCCCGCCCGCGCCCGGGCCATCCTCGCCAGCCGCCGGCGCCTCCCCACGCCTTTCCGCCGCGGCCGCCTGCCGGGAACCCCGCTTTGCGCTCCACCCCGCCCCCGGGTCCTCCCCAGCCCCCGCGCGGGTCCCCGGCGCCCCACCTTCCCATCCGCATCCATCCTTCCCCTCCCGTGACTCCGCCGTTTCCTGCTCCGGGAGCCCCTCCTGCCCTTTCTCCCCGCCACTTCCCCTGCTGCATCCACTCCGGTCCCCGCTTTCTCCGGCTGGCGCCCCGCCGCATGGCCCCCTCCCCGCACCGAGGCCCACCGAGGTCCAGTCCCCTAACAACCGGCGTCCCGCGCCTCCTCCCTCCCCCCTCCCCCAAGGGCGCACCCTTGTCACCTCCGCCCCCTCCTCCCAAGCCCTCCTGTCCTCTGCCGTGGTTTCCTCTGGAATCCGGGACCTGGGAAGGAAGAGGTGCCATCGGTCTGCCCCCCTCCTTTTTTTCCATTTGTGCCCTTCTTGGCCTTGTGGTGGCTCTTCTATATCGGATGGGACCTGCCCTGGGGACAGGGGGAAGTTTGAATTGGCCCTAGAGGAAGGGCTGTGACGAGGCGAGGGCCTTTGGGAAATGGTGTCAGGTGTGTGTGGTGGGCCTGGAGACCAACGAGAGAATGGGTAGCGATTCCTCTCAGAGGCTTACCCTTTAAAGGGAAGACAGCCTCGGAGGAAGTCAGCTGTCCCCAGACACAGACTTTGTAAGACCTCAAGAGCAGACAGACATTTAGGACAGATGAGAAGAAAGAACGCATGAGGGTTAAGGGTAGAGGGGTCAAACTGGATTCTAAATCCTATCCTGTATGACCTTGGGTAGGTTCCTAAACCTCATCTTTCTTGTCTGTAAAATGGGAGTGTGAATTCCAATCTCCTGAGTTTTTAAGGACAAAGTAGACAAGTGCTCATTTAAGTGCTTACAACTATAGCTGATGCATAGTTTTCAAATAAATAAGTAAAAGCAGTTATTACTGTGAATGCAACTTTCAGGAAAGAAGGGAGTAGGTGGAAGATTTAAGGAATGTGTTTGCCTGACTTGACATCACCATGGAGCAGAAGATGCTGTTGGGGGTGTGGTAGGGAGAATGAATTCTGCTGTGAAAGTTTGGATTATTTAGATGTTTGGAAAGGGATGTGGTTCAGCTGTAGGGAAATGCCTTTCGCAATTGTAGTAGTAACTAGTGCCATTCTCTGATGACCTGGCAACACTGAACTGGCAGAACAGAGAAATTTCCAGATAGAGCAGGTGATTCTGTCCTGCTTACTCTTGAAGCATTTATGTGTGTATATATGTACATACATATATACAGAGAGAGAGAGAGAGAAAGAGAGACATACATTGTTTTTGGTAGTACTGGGCTTTTGAACTCAGGGCTTTTTTTTTTCTTTTTTTATCTGAACGCTGGGCTTTTTAACACTTGCTAGGCAGGTGCTCTACCACTTGAGTCACTCCACCAGCCCTTTTTTTGTGATGGGTTTTTCAAGATAGGGTCTCTAGAACTATTTGCCAGGGCTAGCTTGGAACTCTGCCTCCTGAGTAGCTAGGATTACAGGCATCAACCACATGCTTGAAGCGTATTTCACTTGATGGTTTGTTTAGTGATGTTTGGTACTACAAGTTGAATTGCCCCAACTGCCTTAGGGAAGGAAACACTTCTCTCTAGGGAGGCAGAATATGTAGCTTTGGATTTGATTAGTAGATGGTAGAAGGATAGGAGTCTGACAGCACAAGAATAGATAACTAATTAGTGGAATTAATTTTGAAAACAGCTCATTAGCATATTGTGTATTAGAGTCTTAAAAATGGATGTGAAATGATGGAACTAGAGGTATAATATCTTTTTTCTCCTTTTGTAAAAGTGACAGTGTTTCTCACCTGGGTTCCTAAATCAGCTCTATCTAAATGGAGAAATACTTCCCACTGGAATGATAATCACTTTGGACTAGGAAAGTTAGAAGCCAGATCTGCAATAGAAATGAAACCTGCTCATTTAATTCAGATTCGTGAATAGTAGATTTTAGGTCATTGGAACCCCTGGATAAAATGACATGCTATTATCATGCTTAGAGTCCTCTATCAGTGGACAAGGTAAAATGCTTCAGCTTTCATTAGTATCCTCTTAGATAGAAGTGTTTGAAAGAGCAGGTCCCTTGAGGAGTCTAGTTCTGTTATGGGAAAGAGGAACAGTAGGCCTGCGGATGTGGCTCAGTGGTATAGGGGCTGCCTTGTGTATGCAAGGCCCTGGTCCCTAACAATGCCAAAAAGAAAAAAAGAGGAAGGTAAAAAGGATGTGGAGGAGTCTTAGGTTCACACAACCACAGTTATATTTAATTGCTGGCAGTTTTATTTATCTTGCCTTTCTTGTTGATGAACTTAATTTTTCAAATGGCCAGCTTCAGAATTTTCCAAAGGTTAAGGCAATCTAGCGAGTATAAGGTTTTGTGTGTCTTGTAATATGAAGCCTTTATTTAAGAGAGTTATTAAAATGAGCTTAGAAAGTAACATTTAGTTGAACCTTATGAAATGCTGTCTTTGTAGGGCAAAAGGAGTTGTATATCAACTGTAGTTCCATCTACTACATTTCCAAATAATGACAACTCTGTTTTCTGTCACAATGGAAAGTGTCAGACTTGCATTTCCTCCGAGGTTTAATTTTTTCCAGTCCTTGCTTTTGATTTGCTTTGAATGCTGTGTGGCCATGTGCGTAAGCGCTAAGGAAATTGTCATGCCAGGAGTGTTACACAGCTCCATTCAGAATGGATAGGCATGGATTTGAACTAAGAATCAGTTCATTCTAGTGTTTTAAAGTTTTCATGTATAATATAACCTGGCAAGATTTCAACCTAGTCATTAACTTAGTATTTTTGAGTTCTGCTCGTTCTTAATATTGGTGATCCATTATCTGAGAGCACAGGGAAATTCTTGTGGACTTGAGGGTCATCTGTGAAATGGGACCATCTGACCTAGAAAGTTGGGTAGTAGGAAAATTCCTAAATACGACTCTAGTGTGTTTACAAAAAATACCAAGTACTCTTAGCCACTGTAATATCCCCATCCCAATTCAGTTAATATTTTTTAAAAAATGGCCAAATTGGAGGTTTTATTTTTGTTACTAATTCAGAAGTAGCATTTTAAAGCATTCTGAAGATAAATTAAAAAGATGGGGCTGAAAGTATGAAAGATGGTGGATTTGAAAAAGGAAGAGTAAGCTGCTAAGGTGTGTGAAAATGTGTAGGTGCTCCTTTCCAGCCCTCTTCCCCTGTAGCCTGTGTGATTCTTGTCAGTACTGGGGTTTGAACTCAGGGCCTGGAGCTTGCTAAGTAGGTACTCTACTTGAGCCACGCCTCGGCCCCCATTCTCATTTCTTTAATCATTTGTTTTACCTGCATTATTCCTTTCAGTGCTTTGAAGAAAATTTTGAACTTATTTATGACCCTTTAACTTAGAGCTCAGAGTACTTCTAGCATTCCTGACTGACTAGGTCTCTTAAAAGATAGTAGAAGTGAGCTGTTTATAAATAATACATATAAAGTGTTGATTTTAAAACATCTTAATAAGTTTATGGTACCATCATACGGCATGGTTGTATGGCGGTTACTGATTTTTGCAGATTGTTCAAAGCTAAATGGTTTTGAGAGACGTACCTGTGCATGTTAAGGGTTAGTTGATGCATTACTGAAATTTTATTATTTTAAGTTCTATTCTACCATTTTAACTAATTTTTCTCTTCTTTGATAGCTGAAGAAAGGAAATAGGGAATGATTTTTCCATTTTGGCCTGTTTAGTTCCAAGAAAAGTTTGATATATGACTAGTGTTTGGAAGGCAGGAAGCATTTATTCCTTTTTTGTTTGCTGGTTTTTTTTGAGACAGACTGATCTGGAACCTCCTGCCCCAGCCTCTGGAGTGCTGGGAAGGAACCATTCACTCTCATCCCACCTGATCTGAACAAATGACCTTGAACAAGTCACTTGATTTTTTTTTTTTTAATAATCTGATACTTTTTAAAGAAACAAAAACAGCTGGGTGCTGGTGGCTCACTCCTGTAATCCGAGCTACTCAGGAGGCAGAGATCAAGAAGATCGCTGTTCAAAACCAGCTCAGGCAAATAGTTCACGAGACCTATTTTGAAAAAATCCATCACAAAAAAAGGGCTGGTGGAGTGGCTCAAGTAGTAGTAACAGCCCTGTCTAGCAAGCATGAGGTCCTGAGTCCAAACCCTGGTGCCGCCAAACAAAAATAAAGCCAAAGCTGTTTGAAAGACTAGAACTATATCTGAATCAAACTTTAGTGAGTGTTTTTAACAAACATGTCACAATAAAGCTAATGAATTGTTTTAGTATATAGAGGTTGGTAATTCCTCTAGCTCTGTATAAATATTGGACTTGAGATTCAGAGAAGGCACATTTTATATAATCAGATAGTTTCTCTAAAAGCCACTGCACATTTTTAGATTTCTTCAGTCAAGTATAGCTTGTTGTTCCTCCCATTAAGACGCTCTCTGTGCATTCGGTGCTTGGGATTTACCTACATTGAAGTACCTGTGGGGAAATGTGGACTGGCTCACCTTAGAAAATTAAAACTCCTTGTACTGTTAAGGATACCTTCTTTTCTCTCCATCCCCCCACCCCCCAAGCTTTGGGTATGATGGCCTGCATCCCTTCCTAGAAGGAATCTGTCTTTGGAGAACAGTTCAGTTGTACAAAACTGAACAGCACCACGGTTGAACAGGACTTTGGTGATGGCTTATGTCCTCTGCAGTTTTGTTGTATTGGAAGCAAGGTCTTGGGTTTGGAGTTGGATTTTTCTCAGCAGTGGAAACAGGCTAGTACTGTACAATCTTTGGAAGCAGCAGTTGAGACAGTAGCTGTTACTGTTGTAGGACCTGGGTGCTGTAGTCACCGGTGACTCCTCCTCCATTCTGACTGTTCTTCATTCCTGAGCTGGACAGGCTAGTGAGAGCAGCAAATCATCCTCACTAGGAAGGAGGGCTCTCTTGCCATGCCTCCTTGCAGCCCTTCGGGACAGTGGAACTCCAAAGCAGCAGAAGCCAAAATGTGGCTGACTTCTGTTCTCTCAGTTTGGGGCTCTTTCGAAACACCATGGAAGCCGCATCGGGCACATGCAGCTATACCACAGACACAGACTGACAGCAGGCAAACCGTGAGTGGGATGGAGTGCTGTGGGGTTCTCTGTGGGGAGATAAAGGCTAATCGGAAGCCAGCAGGTTGGGTGGGCTCCCTTCGGGGAAGGGAGGAGGCGGCCTACGCCAGCCGGCTGGGAAGGTGCACTGGCATACCATGTGTGTTTTTGTGCACCATTGTGAGAAAACTGAAGGAATTAAGATCTGTGGGGCAATAATCTGACATTTGAGTGTCTGTCACGTTTCCAGCTGTGGTTCTTTGAATTCTAAATTACGACTGCTGCTTTCAGTTGATAGGTTGTGTCACTAACTTGTCAAAGCTGAGAATTATTAAAATAGCCCTAAGGCACATAGAGTATGGCTGAAAGGCAGGAAATAGAAATAGAAGATAGTGTATAATTGATGGTAAATTGTGTGGCACTCATTGGCCCTTAATGAGATGGGGGATCAGACCCAGGAAGGAGGCAGCTAGAGAGACTTTTTTTTTTTTTGGTGGTACTGGGGCTTTGAACCCAGGTCCTATACCTTAAGCCACTCCACCAAGCCCCTTTTTTTTTTGTAATGGGTATTTTCAAGATAAGGTGTCACAAACTGTTTGCCTAGACTGGCTTCAAACCTTGATCCTCCTGGTCTCTGCCTCTTGAGTAACTAGGATTATAGGTATGAGCTACTGGCACCCAGCTTAGAGAAGCATTTGTTCATTTATTGAAGAAATACTTTTTTGGCACCTCATCTTGATAGGCACACTTTTGGTTTGAATATTTATTTTTTTATTTAGGCATTACTAGGGTTTGAACTCAGGGCTTTATGCTTGCTAGGCAGGTGCTTTTCCACTCAGCTAGGCCAGGTACACTTTTGGGTATTGGGTATCTAGAAGCCATTAAGGCAGAACCTTTCTGCCATCATGGTGCTCATTCTGGTGGGAGGGTTTTGTCCTTGTGCTTTTATTCTGATGGGGAGACAACTGTATACAAGGTAATTTTAGATGTTCTTGGCAATGACTTGGAAAGCCTCTCTGAAGAAGCAACCTGACTGTAGGGGATGGAGCTGTCATTCACAGGTGCGTGTGTGGGGGTGGTTGCAGGTGGACGGCACCAGTGCATGTACAGGCCTTGAAGCAGGGATGAGCTTGGGTGAAGGCTGGCTGGATTGTTGAGTGAGGAGCCCGTGGTAGGAGATGAGTCCAGAAAGGTAGGGGACTGGATAGGACCCTGTGGGCCCATGGTAAGGGTTGTGGAATAGGAGTGAGCATTTGCCAAGAAATGAGCCCCACCTAGGTTCCAGTCAGAACTGAACAAGTGGGCAGATGGAGGAGTGTCTGAGAATTAAGCAGGATGTGCATGGAAAAGGGCTCCGCACAAAGCGTGGCACGGAGCTCTGTATGCTTTCCACTTCTTACTGTAGGCCGCATTGTCTTGCTGTAATGCTGGTGTTCAGCTGAGTTAGCATCAGGCTCCAGTCTGACGTTGCCAGTAATTAGATGTGAGACTTCCTTCAGTTTTCTCATCTGTGACCTCTGGAACCTGGACTGTAGCACTGATTCCAGGGGCCCTTTCTGATCTCAGGTTACATGATTGGGAGCAGTGTGAATTGAGTCTTCAGGTAGGAGGAACAGTGCCTTCTTTTGTCAAATAAATATTTCCTCCCCTGTCCTCCTTTTTTGTGGTGCTGTGGATGGAGCCCAGTTCCTCACACATGTTAGGCAAGTGCTCTTCTGCCGAGCTGCACCCTAGTCCCCAAATCCCCAAGTTTTAAAGGTCTGATTTCCCAGTGTGGGGTTTGTGAGTACTTCTTAGAGGGCAGTTTTACTCTTTGGGTGCATACTGTTGTTTTCGACATTGACCTAGGAACAGAAGACTTGGAATGTCTACATCGAAGACTGCCTTTGAAATCATTGTTGCAAAGAGAGGGAAAGAAGAAATGGCATGTTGCCTTGATCAAAGGGAAAAAAACGCAAAGAACTGTCTGGGACCATCTTGAAGACGTTTGAGCATTTCCCCCTTTTTTCCTTCTCTCTGGGCCTTTTAGTCCTTGATAGTCCTTTTAGGTTTTAATGTGCAAAGGCAGTCCTTTCTTCTGGCTTCACACTTTAGCTTTTAAACATGAAATACGTCCCTAGACTCGTTCCTCCAGTCTTCTGGGTAGTTGGATGTTAAGTGAAAATGAATATTGCTTTTTGACCCAGTAATTCTTTTTCTATGGTGGCTTTACACTGAGGTGCATTCAGACTCCTCCATCCCATGCAGTCAGTGTTTTCCCAAGCATGGGTGTCACATTAAATAATTCAGAGTGCTGTCTCTTCTCAGATTCCCTTCTTCCCCTTCCCCTCCTTTTGTTAGTTTGAATAAGCAATTCTCCCCTGGGTATTGTTCCTCCTTCTTTCCAAGTGACAGATGCCCAGGGACTTCACAGCCACCAGAAGGGATCTATCAGTTTTTCTGAGGTGCCTTAGGTTCCTGCATCTGTTATGAACAGCTCTTGAGGCAGGGAGTGGCCTAGACCTAATTATGACTGCTAATGATGATGGCTAATAGCCTTGGGAGTTGTGCAGAAGGTGTGGAGTGTAAGAAAGCACAGAATTGTGCCACTGGCTCACACCTATAACCCTAGCTACTTGTGAGGCAGAGATCAGGAGGATCTCCACTTGAGGCCAGCCTTGGCAAATACTTCGAGAGACCCCATCTTGAAAAATACACAACACAAAATAGTGGATCAAGTGATAGAGGAGAGGACCTGCCTTGCTAGTGTGAGACCCTGAGTTCAAGCCCCAGTACTGCCTCCCCAAAATAAATAAATCTAATTAACATTCATTATGTTAAGCATTCATTACCATTTTCAGAATTTTTCTTTCATTTTTAAAATACAGGGTTTTTAAAATTTTATTTTTCAGTGTTTTTTATCTCTAAAATTTCTCATCACCCCAAACAGAAACTCTGTTCCTATTAAGCAATAAGTCCCCAACTTATGGTCATTTAAAAAAATTATTAGAGTCCTCTAGTGGCTGTGAGTTGGACTGCATTTCGGTCCCGTTGCACTGAGGACTAGTGACGCCAAGCACATTTGCACATACAGGCTGCCCTCCTACTTTCCAGAAAAGACTCTTTGGCTATTTTAAATTTGAGTTGAATTTGGTTTTGAGTAATACTAAACTCTTATCAGATACATGATTTTAAATATTTTCTCCCATTCCTTTGGTTTGTCTTTTTTACCCTCTTGATAGTGTCCTTTTTTTTTTCCATCAATTTTTTTTGTTGGCACTGGGGTTTGAACTTAGTGCTTCACTATTGCTAGGCAGGTGCTCAACCACATTTTCAACCCTGATCTGAGATTTGAGATGGCTGGAATAAAGACTCCCCCCAACCCCCCCCCCTTTTTTTTTTTTGCAGTGCTGGGGATGGAACCCAGGGCCCCGGTCATCATGCCAGGCAAGCTCTCTACTACCGAGCGACATCCCTAGCCTCCTGGAGTAAAGGGTGTTTTGTTTTGTTTTCTCTTGTCTAGATTTAAGTTTGGTGCTGGTTTCTTGATTTTAGATTCTTTGTCTTTAAAGTGGTTACTTTGCCAAACTTGAAATGCTCCACAGATTCCGTTAAATGTTCCTAGTGTTTGAAGAGTCTTGTGACCTTCTGATGAAAGAGGACCTTCCCATACCTTCTTTGATGTGTCTGGTCTGTTGATTATTTTGTTCAGTAGGATGGAAATATAACTCAAGTTTTTAACATTTTATGCACTTTTCTAAAAGTTTGTGTGTGGGCTAGGAGCCTGATGCCAGTAATCCTAGCTACCCACAAGGTAGAAATCAGTAGGATCGCTGTTCAAGGTCAGCCCTGGCAAATAGCTCTCAAGACCCTGTCTCAAAAATACCCAACACAGAAAGGGCTGGGGGAGTGGCTTAAGTGGTAGAGCGCCTGCCTAGCAGGGGTGAGGCCCTGAGTTCAAACACCCTCCAAAAAAAGACAGTGCTGGTGGTGGGATGCCAAGTTTTTGGTTTCTGCACAGTTTCCAGATTAACTATAAGAAGAGATTTGGGAAATATAGGTGACGAACATAGTGAGTTGCTGAGCTCATTTTTTACCACATGGAAACAAAAGAACCTGATGAATTTGAAGCCAGAGAAAAGTAAATTGTACTTGGGACTCTCCCTTAGCCAGCCCTCGTTGCATTTGCTGCTTAATAATTAAGTGGTGGCTATCGTAAAACCCTGAGCTCTGACTTGGAGCCTGGTACTGTGGGATTTGTTTATTTTTGGTCTTGTGATTTTTAAAAAATTTTTTAATTTGTTTTTGAGTTTGTGATTCTTTATTCACCAGAACATTCTATCTGTTTTCCCTTGTCCGTGATAGAGGCACAGAGCAACACGTAGTGATGAGAAACAGGCTGCTGAGATGGTCCCTTGATGGCTAAGGGGTGTGGTGTAATCACAGGAGTTTTATTTTTTCTCTTCCTAGCATCATTAGAAAATCAGGAGAATGTGAAAGAAGGAGAAATAGAAAAATCTAAAGGCCTGCTGGACTCCTGTAACTGACCTGGTAAAATCTGGCCTTTGGACGTTTTTTTCCTGGTATTAGCTGAACTGCACATGTATTTATCTAAGTGTGAGGAATAATATCAGGGATTCTAGGCAGGTGCTTGGGTAAACTTATATATTGAGAATTAGAATAAAAAGTTACTTTGCATTTGTCTGATTTGACTATTTTCTTACAGCTAAGAATCACAGTATGTTATACCCCTAAAACAGGCTAGATTTGGGGATACAGTGAGTGATTTTAATGCTGGGAATCAAACCCAAGGGCCTTTTGCATGCTACCTCAGCCCAATGACTTTATACTGCTGGACAGATGTGTCTAATTGAGGATCAGTTCAATAATTGTCTTTAATCGCTGGGAATTATAGTAGATATATTTTAGTTGTAGACATTTAAGACAGCAACAGATTAAACAAATTCTTTTTGTGGCACTGGGGTTTGAACTCAGGGCCTCACTCTTGCTAGGCAGGTGGTCTGCCACTTGAGCCACTCTAC